CCTCCGTAATCCGCCCAACCATAATCGATTCCAACGGCGTTTGACCTCTCTTCCACATGCTTCCCTTCTGTTGTGTCTCTACACACTCCGATCACTCGCCGTTACCGGAACAACCATCGCTCTCTATGTACGCCGCTTCCCCGAAAACTCCTTGCGGTTCCGCTAGATCCCAACCTCTAATCACCCGATCTGCTTCTCAACGATATAACCATCCCGCCGCTCAATCCAATCACCATCTCCTCCATAGTCTCTCGTTTAGCCACCACAACGACGCCGATCGATTAGGCCAACGCGTATTAGCTTTGCCTAGAGAAACGCCGGTGGATGTTCAGATCAACGATATCGCCGGGAATGCGATTGCTGGGATACTCTATAAATGGGTCAACTATGGTAAAGGATGGAGACCTAGATGGTTTGTTTTGCAGGATGGTGTTGTTTCTTATTATAAAATCCATGGACCTGATAAGATCTTCGTTAGCCGTGACACTGAGAAAGGATCCAAAGTCATCGGAGATGAGTCCACTCGTATGATCTCTAGGCATAACCGTCACGCCGGCAATCATCACCACCGCCGCAAGCCATTCGGAGAAGTCCATCTCAAGGTGCGCCTGATTACATCAGAAATTGGAACAGATTCTTTTGGTTAACATTACAAATTGCTTCGTTGTTTTCTATGTTGAGCTTTTTGAATGGTTGAATGATGTAATTGGTTATCTGCTCGGTGTAGATTTCATCGATTAGGGAGAGTAGATCAGATGATAAGAGATTTTCGATATTCACTGGTACCAAGAGGCTACACTTACGTGCAGAGACGAGAGAGGACCGAGCAGCTTGGATGGAGGCTTTACAAGCCGTCAAAGATATGTTTCCAAGAATGTCAAACTCCGAGTTGATGGCACCGACTAACAGTTTGGGCATCTCGATGGAGAAGCTTAGGCTGCGTCTGGTTGAGGAAGGAGTGAGTGAGTCAGCCATTCAAGACTGCGAGCAAATCACCAGGTCGGAGTTCTCGGCAATACAGAGCCAGCTTTTGCTTCTCAAGCAGAAGCAGTGGCTTCTCATTGATACACTCAGGCAACTAGAGGTATTTGAAAGCTTCCAAGATCCCCTGATATTTTCCTAGTTTTGATTGGTAAAGGGATAAAAGTGAATTCGATTGGTTTCTCTCGGTTTTAGATTTCATGTATGTGCAATGTGCAATCGTTTAGGATTGGATGTATTTGGATCAAGGAGAAGTTGTTGATGTTAATTTCTGGTGCTTTAGGACTTCTGTTACCATTATGGAAGATTTGCGTAGTATTCTTGTTTGGTTTTCTATCTATTCTCTTTTCTGGGTAAACTCTGCTAAGAAACTGCTGTCTCCACGCCATTGTCTAGACAGAAAAGGTAGATCTGGAGAACACGGTTGTAGATGAGAGTCAACGACAAGCTGACAACGGAGACTCAGGTGATTTTTAAGTCATGAGAAGCCACTTTCTTTGCTCTAGCATTTTTCTATCTACCTGTGTTTTGATCGGAGCTGCTGTTGACTTGGTTCTGTTCCCTTCCTGATTCCTTTTTATCTCAGATGGAACTGCTAGTGAATCCGACGATGATAATGAACGATTTGATGCTGCTGAGGAAGAAATTGATACATGCGACTCTCTTTCTTCAAGTTCTTTCAAAAGTATTGGATCTGCTTTTCGTACATCATCATTTTCTTCAGATGATGACGGGCTTAATATTGGCTTTGAGTCTGAAGATGATATTGATCCTTCCATCAAGTCTATTGGTTTTAACTATCCTCATGTCAAACGAAGGAAAAAGTTACCTGATTCGGTTGAAAAGGAGAAAAGTGTGAGCCTTTGGTCAATGATCAAAGACAACATCGGCAAGGATCTCACCAAAGTCTGTCTTCCTGTTTACTTCAACGAGCCACTCTCTTCTCTACAGAAATGCTTTGAGGATTTGGAATATTCATACCTTCTTGACCGGGCATCTGAATGGGGGAAAAGGGTAATGAACATCTGCAAACAACCGATATTATTTAAATTATTTTATGTTATCCCCTTGATTTTGCTCATCACACAAAACATTTCAGGGAAATAACCTCATGAGGATTCTGAATGTAGCTGCTTTTGCTGTATCTGGTTATGCGTCAACCGAAGGAAGAATCTGCAAACCTTTTAATCCAATGTTAGGGGAAACATACGAGGCTGACTATCCAGACAAAGGCCTTCGATTTTTCTCGGAAAAGGTTTCTGTTTTCTTAAGATGAACATCGATAAGTTTCTCTCATTAATTCGGGTTGAGTAATAAACATAACATTCGCTTGTGTATTTTGTCGTCAGGTGAGTCATCATCCAATGATTGTGGCATGCCATTGTGATGGGACAGGATGGAAATTCTGGGGTGATAGCAATTTGAAGAGCAAATTTTGGGGTCGATCAATTCAGCTTGATCCTATTGGTGTATTGACTTTGCAGTTTGATGATGGTGAAATAGTGCAGTGGAGTAAGGTATGAATCTTAACTCAATAAATTTGTTTTAAAAAAAAAACCAATTTTTGTGGACAATATGATGCTGATCCACCGCTGCTCAAAACATAGGTGACTTCATCGATATACAATCTCATACTTGGTAAATTGTACTGCGATCACTACGGAACAATGCGAATCGAAGGCAACGGTGAATACTCATGTAAACTTAAATTCAAGGAACAGTCGATGATCGACAGAAACCCTCACCAAGTTCAAGGTATAGTAGAAGACAAAAATGGCAAAACAGTGGCTAAGCTGTTTGGAAAATGGGATGAGAGTATGCACTATGTGATTGGTAATCAAGGAAAGGCTAACGAATCCCATCTTCTGTGGAAGCGAAACAAACCTCCCGAAAACCCGACAAAGTATAACCTAACACGGTTTGGGATGACTTTGAACGAGCTAACGCCTGGTTTAAAGGAGAAGTTGCCGCCAACGGATTCAAGACTTAGACCGGACCAGAGGCATTTGGAGAAAGGAGAGTTTGAGATGGGAAACGCGGAGAAGTTGAGGCTGGAACAGAGACAAAGACAGGCGAGAGAGATGCAGGAGAGAGGCTGGAAACCAAAGTGGTTTAGAAAAGAGGAAGGGAGTGATACATACAGATACATTGGAGGTTATTGGGAAGCTCGAGATTCTGGTCGTTGGGATGATTGTCCTGACATTTTTGGCCAGCTTATCAAGTAAACCAAATTACTGGAGATACAAAAACTCGGTTTATATTCATCACAAAATG